AAAAATTATTAAACATATTTTAATAATTTTAATATTTAAACTATATGTTTAAATGTAGATTCCAACCTTAAAAAATTTACAGTATAGTTCTTTTTAATTAAAGGATAAATGCAGTAGTTATCCCAAGAAATTAATTTTCCTACGTTATCTGAACTCTGAAGCATATCAAAAAAAGAAAAAAAACATAAACACCAATCACGTTGGGTCCCAAAATTTTTAATAAAGATACTTCTTTAACTCAATCACAGCCGTCAAAATCCGTATCTAAACCCGCAAAGACACGATCATAGCCGTCAATCACTTCCCATCTCGATATTCGCCCCCACCCGACGTGGTTACTACTTAAACTGCATTTTAAATCCGCATTTCAAGTCCGCCCTTTGAAAAATCGAAAACACACACACACTTTCACAGTGGCTCTGCTTCTCTGGAGCTCTTGGATTTGATTTTCAGAGTCTAGATCGACCACCGACCTGGCGGATTCCGGTGAGTCCTTCAGGTTTTCCGATTTCTCAACTCCTTTCTTTGTTCTTCTTTGGTAATTCTCGGTTTCGCTTGTTTTGGTTCTGATTTCGTGGTGATTCGTGGAGTTTTTGGGGGTTAATTTTGTTCGTGAAAGGTTAGGGTTTTGATGTTAGTGCTTGAAAAAGAAGCTTGGGAATTCTTCTTCTTCTTCTTCTTCTTCTTCTTCTTTTTTTTTAGGTTTACTGTGTTTGAAATTGGCGGATTAGGTATTTGGAAAATAAATGTAGGAGATGAAGTGGAATTTCGAATCTTAGGCTTGAAATTTCTTGTTTTTAAGTTGGAGAACTTGGAAATTTTGTTAATTTGAGCTTGATATGTTTGTTTTTGGGGCACCCAAAGGGTGTAAAGATTTATGTGTTATTCTCTTTTATTCAGGGGAACCAACCACAATTTTTTGTTACATGTTTCGAATATGTGTGCCTAGTTTTTTTTTTGGTTTCTCTGTTTTTGAACCTGGTTTAACTCGTTTAGATTTTCTATATTTATTGTTTGTTTGCATTTTTTAAAAAATATATTTCATGTGATATATTTTGTTTATTTTATGCATTACGCTCTTCTTTCCTATAAAGTTGGCTTAGTTGAATTAACTTTGCCAACTACTCATTTTTATACAGTTGATGCCACCTTAAATGCTTTTCCTAGTTTATCTTTTCTTTATCATGAAGATGTTGCAACGTTATGAGAGTTGTTGTACAAAATTTTAAGTCAGTCACTGTTCTGAAAATTTATTGGGTATCAGGAATGGAAAATCCAATGTCAGTCCCTGTTTGTTACCTGGCTTCAGGGTTCATTTAACTTAGATTTTTTTTCTGGGACTAAAGTGACTAAAGGTGGTTCCTTTCTTCCCCCTTTCACGTATTCCAGCCTAAAGTTTGGTGAGTTAAGACACAAAATTGTTTCTGCAATTGGGTGAATTATGGGTGAAGAGGAAACAAAGACTGAGGTCCTTGAGGCCGTGGCTAATGGGACTGCTGCATCAGGGAAAGCTGGTGAAGCTTTGGGTGGAAAAAAAGAGGAGGAAAACAATGGGCTGAAAGAAATGGATGAAGATAAGAAAGATGAAATGAAAACCGATGTTGACAAAATGGATGAAGATGTGCCGGTCAAGGAAGACAAGGCAAGCAAAGAACAATTGAAAAAGGAAGAAAAGGAAGAACCAAATGGTGAAGCCATGGAAACTGATCCAGTTAAAAATGGTGAGACAGAAAAGGAGGGGAAAGAAGAAGCAGAGGAGAAGGAGGAGTCAGAAGGAGAAGAAAAACAAGAGGATGAAGAGGAAGAAGGGAAGGCTGAAGAGGTCAAGCAGACTAAAGGTCCAAGGAAGCGTGGGAAAAGCAAATATGCTAGGGAGAAAGTCAAAGGGAAGACAAAGGATGTACGAGCAAATAAGCAGTCAGAGCCGAGAACTCCTGCAACTGATCGCCCTGTACGTGAGAGGAAAACTGTTGAAAGACTGGTTGCATCTATTGAGAAAGACTCTTCTAGGGAACTCCAAATTGAAAAGGTGATTTTTCTATTTTTTAAATCCTTCTTTCTTTGGATGAGTTGTGTGCTTTTCAAGTTTAATAATGCATTGTTTGTGTTTGGGAAATGCAGGGCCGTGGTACAGCACTCAAAGATATTCCGAATGGTATGATTATTTAACCCTTCTTGGAATTTTGAAATTCATGGGTACACTGTTAATCTAATATTAAATAGGCAGTTGTTGATAGGTGGAACTAGATTCATGTCTAGTGAAAATAAATTTGGGCAAATAATTTTAATATAGAAAATTTTAGAAATGGCATTACACTAGCGTGCCAGTCTTTATAACCTATTAGCTAGGATATCAGCAAAAATTGAAATTTCTGTATGGCTAGGGAATTATAATGACCTTATGTGTAGTCCATCATTACTTGAGGCATTAGTGTGGTGTTGATAAATGGAAGTAGATTAATGTCTAGTGAAAATAAAATTGGGGAGGAATCTTCATCATTGAAACTAACTAATGGATTTAGCGTGCCAGTGTTTCCAATATATCCTAGGGTATCAGTGCGAGAGTGTTTTTTTTCCTCTGGACCCGAGAAAAATTGGAAATTTTGTTATAGAATGATATTTGCCTTTTGTGTAGTTTTTCTGTACCTAAGGCATTAGAGGAAGATATAGAGTTAGCCTGGTTTTTTGGCACGTTAATGGGGTGTTGTGGATTTTGATAGGTGCATGTGGATTAATGGCTAGAGAAAATAAATTGGAGGAAGAAAATTATTAGTATTTAGTAAAAGCTTCATTGTGCCAGTGTTTTCAATATTTGCAAGGATATTGGCCAGAGTTCTTTCCAGTTTTGAACATAAAAAAATTGAAAATTTTGGTGGCTCTGTTAAATGTCCTGAATATGGAAGGAAGTATAAAATTTCTCTGTAAGTAGGAATTTCCTATCTAAGTTTCTGGCCGAAAAAAAGTAGGGAATTATTTTCAGCTTACTTGCAATCCTTCTTTAAGCAAGGTATTAAAGGAAAAGGAGCAGCCAGTTGATGGTGTGCTTAATGAATAATGATAATCATACTTGTAGTTTTGGTAGGTTATCTGAGAGAAGTTCCATCATTTATCCAAATCTTTCAGCCAAACTGTGATTTTACGAAATCATCAAATCCTTCAACTCTTGCCCCTTTATGGACAGTGAACTGAAAACTATGTTTCCAAGATTTCTATAATGTCTCAGTTGATATGAGGTATGATAGAATCTTAGCATGGGATCACTTTTAATAAGCGCTGGCAAAGTTAATTCTACACGAGCTTAAAATGTTTGGTGGAATATTATGGATGCTTTATTGAGTTTTCACTTAATGCTGTAAATAGTATTGACTCTAATATTCCATAACCTGTTTTATTCATACATGTGTTTGTCCAGCATGTTTCTTTTGTTTGTTGAGTTTATTAATATTGTGAAAGACTAGCTAAATTTTGAACTGTCTTTTTGAAACATGTTCACAAGTTACTTTTGCTAAGGTCTTGGACATATTAATACAGTTCCTTAAATATAAGTAAATGAAATGACATGTAAGTATGTTCTCATCTTCAGTGGCGTTCAAGTTGTCTAGAAGGAAGAGTGATGACGTTTTCAAGCTGCTTCATACAATTCTGTTTGGAAGAAGAGGGAAGGTAGTTTGAATGATGTCCATTTTCTTGTGTTTTTCTGTCTTGGATTACCGTTTTTTTTTTTTTTTGATTGGATGGTCAAGGTGTTCCTTTGTCAGCTTGCACACACTAGGAGTAAAATCCCTCCCTGAGCAATCTTAAGGGTGCACCCCCATATAGGCATGGTGCATTCATTATGAGGCGACACTTGCTTACCAAGTGCTCCAACCCATGGGTCTTGCATTACATTTTTCTACTCTCTCAAGTTTGTAATAAGTATCCTATATGTGCATAAAAACACTATTAGTAAATCATGGCTGTCAATTTTGCAAAAACAATATGCTGATTTGCCTTTCATTTGTTGTGATTCAATCAATATTTTGCAGGCAATTCAGATCAAGAGTAATATATCCCGATTTTCTGGTTTTGTGTGGCATGAAAATGAGGTAAAAGGTTGTTTTTTTTTTTTAAGCAATGAATTTTTTGTTGCGTATGCAATTAATTTATTTATATCATATTCAGTGGCTCAAGAGTGTTTAAAGCTTCCCTACTAATGTTCAATCAGCTGCTTGGTTACTTTTGGTGGTATGCTTCTCATTAGTTTCTACCATTCCGATATTGTCATAATTGCAGGAAAAACAAAAGATGAAGGTAAAAGAAAAGCTTGACAAGTGTAATAAAGAGAAGTTGTTGGAACTCTGTGACGTCCTTGACATACCAGTTGCCAAGGCTACTACAAGGAAGGTTTGTTAGTTGACTAGTACCGCTGCTTGTCATTTTGCATCATTATAATGTCAAACAATTTAGTGCTGTTTATCAGCTGTTACTGTTTCTGTCATAAGAAAATAGTTGCTGTTCATCAGTTTGATTAGTAGAAAACATTCTAATTAATGCTAGTTTTAAAATGTGCATGCAAACCAATCACAGCCCTCAGTCTTCTAGTTTGTGTAATTCTTTGCCCCTAAGTTTTCCAGCTTGTTTAATGCAAATCAAGAATTGTTTTATTTTTGGATGACCATATGGTTAACATACAAATGGGGTAAATTTTCTGCCTTAAAGAGAAATTGTGGTAGACTTGGTCATTAAGTTCATCCAGCTATTTATGTGTATAAAATTAATAGATAATAACAGGATTTGAGAAATAGATCAAAAAATTATAACCATGGTTAGTAATAGCACAAGCCTGAAACTACTAATTCTCCATCCTCTGTTTTGACGAGGCTATTAATTAGTTTTCCTGGTTTTTAGATTAAGAGCCCTCCTTTATTTGTGTAGTTTTTGTTCTCAAACTAATGAAAGAAGTATGTGGCCAATTATAGCAAAAGCTATATGCTTGAGTTGTGGTTCACTAGTATTGTAAGGTTGGGTTCTGAAGTTTCTGGTGACAGATTTATGACGTGATATTACATTTCTGACACCGGATAAGCCTATATGATGTGTATATATTATTATTTTTTTCTGAAATATACATCTTGAGCAGGAGCTGATTCTAATGCTTGCTAGCAGCTTAAGTAAAACATCAATTCTGATACTGTTGAAATTAAATCTGTGAAATGGTTGTTAATGAGCCTCAAATGAGCATGCAGGAAGATATCATTACGAAGCTGATAGACTTTTTGGTGGCTCCTTATGCCACAACTGCTGTGCTGCTTGCGGAAAAAGAGAAGGTTTGTAAGATTCCATGCTTCCAAATTTCAAGACATCTTTTTAACTTTTCTTTTTGCTCCCCATTTTGACTAAAATATTTATTATCCAGTCAAGTAAGGGTACAAAGCGCAAGAGGGGTAGCAAACAAAATTCTTCAACTGCTGGGAATACTCCTTCAAAGCGATCCTCAAAGGTATTGTTTTCTCTATATTGGCATTCGACATGTAATCCTCTAACGAGCATTATAGATCCTACTTAGAAACTAGTACCATGTATTGTTCAACGTTTGGTGTTCTGTACTTCTGTTAAGTTGACAGCTTCTGTTGCAGCTGTTAGTTCAAGGGTATTGCACACATTAATGTGCCTATTTTTCTAATCCCTCCTTGAGTATTAGTTGGGAAGGAAATCTTTTTTGAACTTTTACTGCATGCAGGCAGATAATGAGTAGAGGTTAAGAAAAAAACGTAAATGAAATCTACTGCAAAATGCAAATTTGCAAGACTATCAGAGCCTTTTTAGCTTGTACTTTTCTGGTTGATGAAGATCTTTGTATGGTTTACCCTTTCCTCTTTATCCTTAATTTTTTTCCTATGTTCTTGCTCATTCATTAGACACAAAGAAAGAGTGAGGAGACTTCAAAATCAAAAAAGAGTACTGATTCAGAAGAGGAGTCAGAAGAAGACAAGGAAGAGGAAGAAGATGAAGAAAAGGAAAATGAAAATGAAAATGGTGTTCCAGAAAAATCTGAGGATGAGATGCCTGAGAATTCTGAAAGTGAGGAGAAAAATGAGTCTGAAGATGAATCTGAGGAAGATGTAGGCAAGAAGAAAAAACATTCAAAGGCATCATCCAGAAAGAGAGATACTAACGAAAAAGCTAAAACCAAGAAAGCCACAGTTACCAAGAAAGCTACAGTTACCAAAACGTCCAGTCCACCACCAAAAGTAACAGCTAAAAGATCATCCTCAAAGCGTGCTAAGGCTAATGATGATAACAATGACGCTGCAAAAGCATCTTCCAGGAAGAGAAATGTGAAAGTACCAAAGGAGAAATCCTCAACCCCAGCAAAATCTGCCCCCAAGGAGAAAACTGGTAAAATAATGGCTTCCTTATTCTTTGTTCTTCTTACACTCAATATAAAAACCCTTTTTGCTCGATTCTGACTAAAGAACTATAGTTTCTTCTGAAAAACATTTGCAAGATCTAAGACCCTATTTGGCAACTTGATATCATCATGAACTTCAACAGTTAAAAGTATAGGATGAAGAGTGTTTATTTTCACACTTTTTTCATCCTGAATTACCATCATTCTGAAAATAACTTTTATATATTTGTTAAGGCAAAAAGGTTGTGAAAGGGAAGGATAAAGGTAAAGAGGAAAAACTGAAGCCAACTGATGATGAGCTAAGAGATGCAATTTGTGAAATTCTTAAAGAAGTGGACTTCAACACAGTAAGATCTGCCACTGATATTGCCTTTATTTTTTGCTTTTATTGCCAATTGCCAGTTTTGTTTTTGGATTTAGTTTAATGAATGAATAGTGTGCCACCTTGGAAGGAAAATGAATGAGACTGACATATACAGAATATATGTGAGAGTACAGACTCTCTACTGCAAACTTCCATTGTGGAAATTTGTTGAATTCTTCTGCAATCACTTGGTTGCAGTGCAGGCTTATATTTTAATAATATTGATCTCAAAAACCATTTATCTGAGAAGCCATCCTGACCATCACTTCTTTATTAAAGACAAAACAATTCAAGCCTTTTTATGTATTCTGCTTTCTTTCCAATTCAATATGCGCCGTTAGTTTTTCTTTAAAGGAATCTGTAGATACTTGTTATAACATGATTCCATTTTCTGAGATTTTGTGATGTTATATGTTTTGCCTAAATCAGTGTGCATTATCTTCTCTTGCAGGCAACGTTTACTGACATTTTGAAGCTACTTGGTATGCACCTTTTGCTTTACTTTTTATGAATTTATGCGTTCTTTTTTTAAATTGAAATATTTATATAAACCATACAATTTAGCAGCTACAGTCTTTCTTTCAATTTTTATGAAGTGAAATTTTATTCTCTGGTGCCCCTAATTGGAGATTTGCCCATCTTTCAGCTGAAAGATTTAATACGGATCTGACCCCAAGGAAGTCATCGATAAAGCTCATGATTCAGGAAGAGCTTACCAAACTAGCTGATGAAGCAGATGATGAAGATGGAGAAGGTGATGCTGGAAAAGATGAAACCACACAAACTACCCAATCAGTTGGCCAAGAGGTAGTAGCCTGATGAACACACCAGTGACCAGAACATAACTACATGAAAATAGCCCCTTTGTATCCATATCCTCTGTTTAAAGCTGTTAACTAGTAAAGCCGAGCAAGCTTGTAACTTGGAGTATTTTTATTTTTCTTGTCAACCAAACAAAGGTTTACAGAACATGTAGAGTAGCTGGAGCCACCCAAGTGGTACTTTGGGTTTGCAGTTTGATGATGTGTAGACATTATCATAAATTTGTAGGAATAATATTTCTATCTTAATTTAATCAAGCTTTATGTGGATTACAACTCTAATTTTGTTGAATTTGTCACTGCACGCTCAATTTATTATGGGTATTACAACAAAAAGATGGTCCTCTCTTTCTCAAGCCTTTTCTCCGCGTGTTATAAAATTTAAATATAAAAACTCTTTTACTTTCAAAGTTTAAGTTTCATTTTATTGGGTTAAGCCTAGCTTGATTCGCTTAGGGATTGTTTAATTGAAGCTTTTCCTTCAAAAGGAATTCGGCGAAGCCAAGTGAAAATTTAGATGACTTGGTTACGAAAATTGAGATAAAAAATATTATAGTTATAATATCATATGATATTGAAAGCGTATAGTATGATGTGTTATTATATAATTAATTTTTTTAATTTAAAATTTTATTAATAATATTATATGTATTTACTCATTTAATATCATATCATATTTTATTAAATGACACGAAAAAAAATAAATTTACTTTTTTATTTAAAAATTTATTAATAATATTATATGTATTTACTCAATTAATATCATATCATATTTTATTAAATGACACGAAAAAAAATAAATTTACAATTCCATATAACATTATAATTATAATATTATCATAATTAATTATAATAAAAATGTAAATGATTATATTAAATATATAACTAATTGTAAAAGATATATGATTAATTATAAAAATATAATTAATTTTTTAAAAATATAATCGATTATCTCACTTTTTTTGGCTAAAAAACCCAAAAAAAAACCTTTGGGAGAAAAGTTTCAGTAATAATTATTTA